AAAAAAAAAAAAAAAAAAAAAAAAAAAAAAAAAAAAAAAAAAAAAAAAAAAAAAAAAAAAAAAAAAAAAAAAAAAAAAAAAAAAAAAAAAAAAAAAAAAAAAAAAAAAAAAAAAAAAAAAAAAAAAAAAAAAAAAAAAAAAAAAAAAAAAAAAAAAAAAAAAAAAAAAAACGAGTAAAAACGAAGGGGGAAAAAAAACAAAAAAGGAAATATGATTTTTAAAAATGTATAAGGATCAAAACGCGAGATTAGTGTCAGCTTTTATCACGGGTTATAACCGCTTTCATTTATTTTTTTTTATCCAAATCAGTAGAAAGTCTACAAAATTTTAAACAGTGAAATTAGGCACTTCATTAAATAAATATTTCTTTATTAAAGTGTGATAATCGTTCTGTGCTTTGGGTCTCCAGTTTGCGCTGAAGTTTGCTTACGGCGTATGATGCTTTATGACGTCCACTGTGACGCCACGGGGAGTTTATAAAGGCAGGTTTTCCACCATAACGTTCAGTTTTGCTGAAATCACGGACTGTGATGGTTTATTGGTTAATGGACCGCGATAAACAGCAGGGAGATTCAGACTTTCTTTCCTTAGCATTTATAAAACGTTTAATTCAGAAGGCAAGGCGCAACAGGTGAATATGGTCATTCATTTCATTAAAACTATAAATATCACAATTAAGCCAGGTGATTCTTAAAAGATGGATTATTGTACAAATTTAGACATAGGCCTGTTTATGCAAATAAAGCTCTGTCTCATTAAACATGAGTACATTTGCATTATTTGAGATGTTTATTTCACTGTGAAGATGCTCTCAAGAGACCTTTAATCAAGAGAATTACAGAAAGTCTTTATTGTTTAATGAATAAAATACCTTGGAGAGTTACTAAAACATTTTCCAATGCCATTTTCAGTATAAAATCCAGCAATAATCAAAATTCCTCTGCGGTATGCTTCTAATTAGGAATAGGAATAAACATGTAAAATTTCAATACTTATAAACTCCAAACAGCAGATTTTTCATTTTCTAGACTAGCCCACATAAGATTTCAGAATTTATTTCAGACTCTGTTACTTTTTATATTCATTGGCTTGTGTTCTGTGCATCATGTAGTGTGTGACAGCTCATTAGCCTAATCATTCACTTCAGTTCTGTGTTCCTCGAGGGTCCATTAGTGGTCAGGAGGCTGGGTCAGTAAACTGTGCATTTAAGCAGCAAACTTTTTACCCCCCTTTCTTTTCAGATGCAAAGTAACAGAAAGCAAACCGAGAAGGTGAACATGGACAGCGATTCTTGTCTGAAAATCTTTTTAACTCTATTAAGTTGATTTTTTTTTTGTGCCAAAACACATTTGTGGTGGTGTGATTAATAGAAATCACCAGCTTTTTCCTTTCACTGATTTCTTGCTTTTGTGTGTTATAATCACAGGAAGTTCATTCGACTTGAGAGACATGACCCAGATGCTTCTTAATGGAGCAGCAGTTTCTCACTTGGAAATGCCTGTCTTT